GACACCTTTTGAGGGTATAAAGTGTTTACACAAAAGGACACACCACCGCCATGCACACCATTGTTGGTACTTTGAAGAATTAAAGTATAAAGCCCTCAGGTTAGTATTGCTTTTACAAAAAGTTTCACCCAACAAGCAGATAAGATTAATGTCTTCCTCTTGCCCCAAATCCTTACCTTTCAGATGCTATGGAATTGTCTCTTGTGTCCCTCATATAAGCACTGCCCTGAATGCACACTGAGCACAGCTAAGATCAAAATGTTCTGGATTACATGTCCCATGGTGTCATGTACACTGCCTGAACTGTGTATGCGTTAGCCATGGTGCGCACTTGTGTTATGTTTGGCCGACAGAAGTAGAAGTATGGCCCTCTGCATATACTGTGCTCTGGTGCTGCACATAGCTGTTGCCCACCTATGCATGTATCAGCTGAACAGCACCAGGGTGCTAGTGGTCCGTGTTGCACATGCATAAGCCAAACACCAGTGTGCTAGCGGTCCATACTGTGCATGTGTCAGCCAACAGCACCAGAGCACTAGCGGCCCTTACTGTGAATGCATCAGCCAAACACCAGAATGAGAGCAGTCCATACTGTACATGCGTCAGCCAACAGCACCAGAGCACTAATGGTCCATACTGTGAATGCATCAGCCAAACACCACCATAGCACTAGCACTCTGTACTGTGCATGCGTCCAAACAGCACCAGAGGTCTGTACTGTGCATGTATACGCCAAACAGTACCAGAGTGCTAGCAGGCCGTACTGTGCATGTGTCGGCAAAACAGCACCAGTGCACTAGAGGTCCAAACTATGCATGCGTCAGCCAAACACCACCAGAGCACTAGTGGTCCATACTGCACATGCATCAAACAGCACCTGAACACTAGTGGTCCTTACTATTTATGCATCAAACAGCACCCGCGCATTAGTGGCCCGTACGGTGTATGTCTCATCCGAACACAGCACCAGAAATGTGCACATCAGGGTGATATAAAGGAGCCACCCTTTCAGAGGCTGGAGTTTGCTTTAAAGACTGCACAAAAAAGGGGACTGGACATGATGGCGATATAAGGGTCCCCACACACCTTACGATTATCGTATGATAATCGCGGGAAATCCCGCGATCGTACGATGATCGTAAGGTGTGTGGAAGCCGTGCGACCTCTACTACTGTAAGGTCGCACGACTTTAAACTTACGGACATGTTCGAAAACCCGCCGGAGCATCGTACGATGTTCAGCGGGTTTGTGGCATGTCCGTTTGATAACAGCCGTACGGGCCGGTGTGCGCAAGCGCACACTGCCCGTTCGGCATTGCGGTCATTGGAAGCCCGCCCCTCAGGGGGCGTGGCTTGCGATCATCACAAGTACGATCTGCCTATGCAAGATAGGCAGATCGTACGTTTTTTTAAGTACCTTACAACCATCGCAAGACAAAAGTCTTGCGATGGTTGTAAGGTGTGTGCCCAGGCTAAGATATACAGCTACATTTATCCCATGGGGGAGGGGGGGTGATATCAACTTAATAAACTTGGTGTTTAAGATAACAGCAATTAATTAACGGTTGGATGAATGGGTTTAGTGCAGTATAATACATTTAGTAGATACATAGTAAATTTCTTTTTAAAGGAGAACTATGGGGTCAGTGTTTTTCCCCATAGTTCTCCTTGGGGTAACGGGAGGACACAAACTAGCGTCCTCCCGTCACCCTAAGCTCAGTATACCGCGAGCTACAGCTCGCGGTATACTGAGACGCCGCACCTGGAGCGGATCCCGACTTAGATGACGGGATCCGCCCAGCTGCGTGAGTGACAGCTGGCTCTGCCTATCTAGAGGCAGAGCCAGCTGTACCCGCCCCCTCCCCCATCCGTTCCGCCAGTCAGCGCTGGCAGATCGGAGCGGGGAATCCAGCCCCTCCCCCTGTCACGGCAGAGAGCCGTGACAGGATCGAGAGGTGAGGGAACCCGGTATGTTTTCCCTCACCTCCCGATCTACTGACCCGACCTGTGACAGTCTCATTGTCACAGGTCGGCTTAGAACTATGACGTGAGTGGAAATTACTCATGTCATAGTTCTCCTTTAAGGTCTATACATCAGACTGAGAAGAGGGACAATGGAGAAAGAAAGAGGGACAGAGGGATTAAACTGCAGAAGACAAACAGTCACTGTAAACGAGGGACACTTAGTAGCTATGTGAACACAGAAACCGGATTCGAGATACTTTCATTTTTTTCAACCTCCAGTAATGAGAAGATGAGAAGGCTTTTTTTTAAATAATTATAGATAAGGCCAACTGTTTGAAGCCAGTCTAATCATGTCACACTCTCTATGAAATCTGGAAACAAACGCTTTTAATACATAACCATTCTGACAATCCAGATCATGCAAGGGTTAAGTTCTGCCCTGACTGCTGGGATGTCATGGTACAGAGCCGATTAAGGATGATTAACTGTGAAATGGGGACAGAGTGACGGAGAAGAAATGAGAAATAACCATTTCCCTGCCCCTAATCTGCATTCCGTTCAAGTCAAATATAGAAAAGATGTCTATACACCATTACACGAGTCCTTAGCAAATACAATATAAATCAGATTATGTCTATCTATCTCACCATTCAAAGAGAACCTGTACTGAGGCTGTGATTGCTGGCATTCAAGCCGATATGCTGATAATGCTAGTTGCTGGACCTTCTCTGGTTTCAATAGTTTCTGTTGATGTAGAAGTAGTATTGAACAGTAAGATACCTGTTCCTCGTCAGTACTCAGAAAGTACTGAGGACATTAGATTTTTGTAAGAAAGAAAGGGTTAGTTATTCATTTCTTCAACCTTTCAGAGAAAGATGCTTGCCAACTGTTCTAATTTTGTAAAGGCAAAGGGGATTAGCAAAATAAGTCACATTTAAAAAGGAAACTATGGGGTCAGGGCTTTTCCCCATAGTTCTCCTAAGGATCATGGGAGAACACAAACTAGCATTCTCGCCTGACCCAAAGCTCAGTATACCGCAAGCTCACAGTCACGGCTCTCTGCAGGGATGGATCGAGAAGTGAGAGAGCGACAGTATGTGTTTTCGCTCACTTTCCGATCTACTGAGCCGACCTGTGACAGTTTCATTGTCACAGGTCGGCTCAGATTATGAGGCTGAGTGAAAATCACTCACCTCATAATTCTCCTTTAAGGTGTAATTACACTTATCAGCAAAAGTCCTAAAGGGTCTCTCCACCCTAAACATTTGTCTATGGTTGGGGATGCTCCAAGAAAACATCTTGCCAAAGTTAATTTCCCTTTCCACACAATATGGAGGATATATGAATATATAGGATATTAAACTGCTTCTCTTGGATTCTCTAATTAACAATACATTTAAATTCCAAAAAGGGAAACAAAGACCCCATTGTTATGGCTGTGACAGGTGGGTCTAATGGCCCATTTACACTTCTAAGTTCCTGTGTCTTGCATAATGATTAATGCACATTACATACATTGGTGCGTTGCAGTGACATTCATTGTGAATGGCATCCCAAGGCACTAAGTCAATGCGCTGTGGTATGCCGAGTCAGGAAAGAATGCTTTGTGGTGAGCTGCATCAGAAAAGAAATGCTGCATGCCCCTTTTTGTCAATTCTAATACATTGGTAGGCCATTCGTTTGAATAATCTGCTTTAATTCAATGCACGTTACCAACACACCACGGGAGCAAAGTGAGAATGGGCCCTATAGGGCAGAAATGTCACTACTGGAGTTCTCCGGTCATATAAAAAACAGCTCTGTCACCAATAATCTTTCCAAAACTAATATATATTTGGGTGTTCTGGCCCTTCTAAGGTCACAGTGATAGATCATACACCATACAGTGATAGCTCACATATAGAGTAGATCAACAATACATAGATTAGAATATGTGGATCACTTTGGAGAATAAGAGGTATTTCCTGAAGACTGACACCAGCGCCCTGACTGTGGAAACAGAGCCCTATTCAACCTTTCATTTATTGTAATTTTACTTGCAGCATTTCCAAAGATACATTGAAAAGCCTAATGCAGACCCATGTATATGGTTAAAGAATAAGTGGACTTTCAGACAAAGTGCTCTTATTCTTTTTACCCTGCTCTCCTCCTCCTCTGCAGATGTATATTTACCAAGATCTGACACATGTAGCCACCAGAGACTGTTGGGATTCTGTGCTGCAGCTCAAATCATCCCCAAATCTAAGAGCTGTTAGATTTGGGGATGGGGCAAAAGGATACTTGGTTTTAACATGCACGTATCCTTTAAAAGTCTGCAATAACAACTTCCCAACATGTCACAATAAACAGTAACAGTATGGCAAAAAAAATCTGTCTCATCAGTTGTTGAGCACCAGTGAAATTAGTAAACCATGGCTGAGAGGAGCATCTTTGAAGCATGATGTCATCAATCGTCTGCAGGCAGCATTCCTTCAGTCTCCTCTTCCTATGTGATAACTATGACTACTACTGATATTCTAAGCCAGGATAAGGCCAATAAAGCAAGAAAATGCTATGTGCAAAAGATATTATATTGGCACAAAGTTATTGCTTTGGGCACCAAATGTGTGCCTTCAGGGGGTCAGAGGTGGAAATCAAGGGCTGTATGGGCTATTGCATAGGCATCGGGATTGACATCATTGTGTCATAAAGGAGTAAGATTTTAGTTCAGTAGAGCGATAGTTACATGTGGATCCTGGATGATATCTGAACAGAGGGCCTGGTCTTCTGGAAGGAAAAAATGACAAGGGCATTTCTCTATTTGCGATCCATGCTAGGTGCACCAATAATGTACTTTATCATTTGTTGATTTGGCACTTCTCCATGATCAGTTTATAAGCTGTTCTCCTAGCGACTGAATAAATAGTGCAGGGTGAGATTTTTCTTTAAAGTGGCAACATGTCCTCAGCCAAGGTTGATGGCTGACAAAAATAGGGTGCAAATATAGCAGCAATAAAGGATTGCAGGAACAAAGCAGTAATCATTGCAGGAAATATATTAGGAGGTCATCATTGCACAAGGAAAAAGCTCAGCACTGCCTTTTATCTGCAGTTCATCAATGGACTTTAGATTAAACACAGGAGGACAGAAGTCACCCAGAGGGGTCCCATTAATGGCAAGCCTGAATATTCCAGCTTCAGGAAGGACCAATATCTATAGGAAAGGAAACAGAAAATAGGGGACTTTTGAGTGATCACAATTAAATATATATTTTAAGAAAAGAGAAATGCAGAGGATGCCATTGCTGATCTTCTATAAATGCAACTCTCCTGGCTTCAATATTTTCTGAATCACTAAGCCAGGTCAGTGAATGAGAAGGTTCTAATACATTCGATTACAGTTTAGGAACTAGAAAAAGGAGAAGTCAGCAATTACTACCTCTGCATTTCTCTCAGTACAGGTTTACTAAGGGTCTATTCAACTCTGTCTGCTCTGCTGCACTGCCCAAATGTGCATTGTGTTAAAGAGGAACTCCAGGAAAGCTTATTACCACTACCACTGCAAGAGTTAAGTGCTAGTTTTTGTCTAGGTTAAAAAACAAACTTATACTCACCCGAAGCCCCGAGCCAGCCAGCTGTCACAGCCCTCATTCTTCTCGTATGCTGCAGGATTGGAAGGTTCCTTGGCGTCCTCGTGTCTGTATACTGTGTATAGTGCGTTATGATTTACTTAGACCGTTGCAAGTCAGGCATGGGAGAGGCAGCAACTGGTTGGCTACAGTGTTTGTTTTCTTTTGTAGCAACCACATTTCTAAAACCTTGGCTTAAAATATATCTTTGTGCTAAGGTGAAACTCCAGACAGTTTTGGTTACAATGAGGAAGGGGTAGCAGCTGACATTTTAGTTGTGCTCTCACTGAGGAGATTTACTCCTATCTCCTCCTCAAGTGACAACTGTCCAAGGTGATGTTTCCTTTCATCTAGGAGAGTAACTGTCTCTGGGAACAAAGACAGCAATAAAAACCCAACAAATGTTCTCTTATCCAAAACAAAAATCAGAATGCTTTCTATGGAATTCCTCTTTAGATGCCTTGTGACAACAGCTTTCAACGTCTTACTGGGTCCCTTACACACATATCCAAAAAAAAAAACCTTACCTCAAAAAATCTCTTTGGGTAAAACAAAAAGAAAGGAGTCTGGACATTCTGTGGCTGACCCCATGACTGGCCCATGAAATAATTGTAACACAGAGACTGATCTCGGAAATTTGCAGTCAGTTGGAAAGGAATGGAGTCGCTGGATTTCAACAGAAGAGTAAGTCTGTAGAAAGAATATGCAGCCAATATAAGACATCCTCATTGGTTAATACTCAACCTTTTTATGATCAATTGCATTATCCTAAAAACTCAAATGGCATTTTAAGTGTGCCCATATGCCCTGTAGCATGGCATTGTACATCAGTATTTAAAGTGACTCATTCACAAAAGAATGTGACCAAGTAACTTACTGGTTAGCGTTTCAGGCTTGCAGCAGGGGGGCCCCTGGTACAAATCTCAGTCAGGGCAATATCTACAAGTTTCACTGTCCTTGTGTGGGTTTCCTCCGGGTTCTCTGGTTTCTGCCCACATTTCAAAGACATGCTGGAAGGTTAATTGGCTCCTGTCTAAAACTGGCCCTCCTATGTATGCATGTGAGATGGGGACCTTAGTTTGTTATCTCTTTGAGGGCAGGGACTGATGTGAATGGGCAGTATGCAAAGCGCTGTGTAAATTGTCAGCACTGTATAAATGCCTGTAATAAATAAATACAAATCTGTCGATAAGTATAAAGTGCAGGCATCTAGAAGCACCAGTACCTACATCCAGCCTTCTGTTATAGCTTGGCTGTTGCTACCCCCCAGAATATTGCTATTGGCCTAAACCAATAACCTGATCACAGAGCTGCTTAATTTTACATGAAGCTTTTTTTCTACAACATGGAGCTTCAGTGGATGCAAGAAAAAACAGGACTTTAGTTTTCATCATAATCCATCACCAATCGAGTGTTTTCATTTTGGAGTCAATATAAAAGAGGACATGGTTTTTTGGTGGTTTTTAAAAGGTGCAATGGACTTTAAATTGCTCTCGAGGCTGCAGAGGCTCCTTTGAACTAGCCAGGACCTGCTCTTGTGCAAAACAATAACCCTCATTTTATAGATCCATTGTGTTACTTTGCGCTGAAAAAAGTACACACAACACAGCAGATCGGAACTAGGGGAAAACTTATATTTTTTTTTTTTAGCAAATTTTGCCAAAGCATCTTAATGAGCAAAACAGATAGTTTCAGCTTTGGTACATTTTTTCAGCAAAAATCAGTTTTGTTTAAATTGCTCAACTCCTCTCTACCCATGTGAAAACATTTAAAGCTCAACTTCAGCCAAAACGTATTGTTTTAATTTTGTTTGCAGTGGGGATGGGTTCATTTTTTTAACTTGCCATCCATGTCCATGTTATGGAGATTTCGGCTCACTTTCGGACCTGGTGACCGCACAGGAAGTAAGGAGATCTTCCAATGGGTACACTTACTGTCTCATGTAGAACTATATAAAAGCCACTAAAACCTGGACGAGGTCTTTTTTCTTCCTCTCGCTATTTTCCCATAAATCTCATTTTAAGTATATTTCTAGGCCAAACTTTTCCTTTCATAAAGTAGGGAACCTGTAAGGGTTTTTTTCCCTTTTTCTTTTGCTGTCTGTGTCCCTGCTGTGAAAATTTCCCCTCTATTTTTGTCATGGTGACCATTGACAATAGGGGCAAAAAAACAAAACAGGAAAGTTAAAATTTTACAGTTGTCACTAGAAGAGGAGATGAGGGGAAATTTTCCAAAAGGGATATGGCAAAAAGGATTCCCTTCACCTAAGAAAAATGTTGTTCTCACTTCCTGTACACAACTCAAACACACTCCAGGTCCCAAGGCTGCACCCTCCTGTCCCAATTAGTTGTGGTAGGGGCATTGCCTGGCCCTTTGGGACAGTTTGGTGTGGTCTTGGTTCACACCAATACCCCGCACATTAATAGTTACCAAGTGTCAACAGTTAACCTTCGAATACTCACAATAGGCTTAATTGACCAAGTTTATACAATTAACTCCTTCTATCCTTTTCAAATCCGACCGGATTCTGATGAAATATAACTGACACTTTTTTCAATAAGAAATCCCTGGTCAGGTGTATTGCTTTGTGAACGGAGCCTTCCACGCAAAACATTTCACTTTTTCTACATTCTAACATAACTAGAAGCAAAGTTTAAAAATGTTAAAAGGGGGCGAATTGAAAACCTCAGCAGCAAAACTAATGTAACGTAACTGGATTGTTTTAGCATTTGTGTAATAGATCAGAGATCGAGTCTTATTTATTATCCCTTTCACTGCAAGTGCCATATCCCTTACAGCGCTGGCTCCTGTAAACAGTTTCAGAGTGTTGGCTGTTTCAGCTGCCAGATCACTTCCAGGGGCCAGTAAACAAAGCCCTCCATACCCGACATGCCCCGCCTTGCTTCCCAGACTCCGCTGACCCTCCTGCAGGCCCGAGGCTAGCATAGTGGGTGTTGTCGGGTAGCAGGGAGAGAGACCAGCAAACGTCTATTTGCTGATCCCCTATCCACTGAATGAAGCCAGAAGCAACGCTGATTGCATCACTTCCAGGTTCTCAGCGGTCATTTCATGGATAGAGAAGCTGGGGGGGAATAAGCTGTTCAAGCACAATCTGTGCTTGATGGGCTTCTTTGTAAAGTAAATTTCAGGCCTGAAATGTGGATTAGAACTTATGTGCAAAAAAAAAAAAATGCTCTGGCAGCGAAAGGTGTTAATAGGTCTCATAGCACTGCCTGATTTGGAGTATCATTCCTATAGTACAGAAGTGAATGTTAATGGGAACATCTGATCAGCTGTTATATAGATTCCATGACAAATGAGGCTCCAAATCTACAACGTTGGTTTGAAAGTAACAAAACCACCACTGACTCATCTGGGTTAACTGCAACTAAACCGCGGACCGTGATCACATGACATTCAGAGAGACCCATGGGAAAAGTCTTTGACAGCGGTGTTTTTTGCTGTAAAAGAAAGAAAAATATAAGCCACATTAGAAAGAATATTCATTATAACATTTGTTAAACTGTTGGTAGCCAAGTATTGTATGCAGATCAGAAGTTCCGCAAATTTACAGAGATCTTGGCACCTTGTATGGAGGCATTTTACAACTCCCTACACTCAGGTGCCCCTCTGGACCCGGATCTGAATAGAGCTTACATTAGTATCATTCCTAAGCCACACAAAGACCCTGGGGAAGTCTCCAATTATAGACCTATTTCACTGATAAACAACGATATAAAATTCCTATCTAAAATCTACGCTAATAGACTAAATAGCTTCATAGGCAGTTATATACACCGAGATCAAGTAGGCTTCATTGGAGGAAGACAAGGCCCAGACCAAGTTAGAAGAGACCTAGATTTAATCGCACTGCTTAACCACCCTTGGGATGACTCCCCTCCCCAACAAGGTATGCTACTATCTATAGATTTGGAAAAAGCATTTGACTCGGTGTCCTGGGAATACTTGTTACAACTTCTTAAATCCTTGGGTTTCGGGCCTAAATTTCTTAGCTCTGTAAATGTTCTTTATTCTTCCCCATCAGCTCAGATCCGCCTACAAGGCTATCTGTCAGACTCTATCCAAATTCGAAGGGGCACTAGGCAGGGATGCCCCATTTCACCATTATTATTTGCTATAGCAATCGAATCATTGGCAATATCACTTCGCAATAGCGTTGATATCAAAGGGATAAAATACGCCCTAGAGGAACATAAATGCGCCTTGTTTGCGGACGATATGCTGCTATTTGTAACCTACCCACTAGTTTCATTACCTAATATCATGGTACTTCTGGAAGAATATGCACAAATTTCAGGACTTCGAGTCAATGCTTCCAAGTCAGTAGCACTTAATATCAATCTCCCGGCTGTAATCTGGTCGGGCCTCAAAAATTCGTTCCCATTTAACTGGCGCACAGACTCACTACAATATCTGGGAGTGAAACTCACCCCCCTATACACCAAACTATAAACGGCTAACTTCCCCCCACTATTTAAATCTCTTAGGGAAGACATGACTCGGTGGTCCACATACAATTTATCTTGGTTAGGGCGAATTCGTTCAATTAAAATGAAATTATTTCCTAAAATACTGTACCTATTTAGGACATTACCAATCCCGATTCAACAGACGGAACTTATCAATTTCCAGAAGTCCATCTCTAAATTTATCTGGGGGGGGGGGGGGAACAAACCAAGAACCTCACGATATATCCTCTCCAAACCTAGAAACAAGGGAGGTTTAGGGGTGCCAAACTTACTCTTATACTACAGGGCTGCACAAATCTCACAATTATCATCTACTTCAAGTCACTTGCTCCTGACTGGGTCAAGCTAGAAGTTAGTTCATGTAAGGGCCCCTCTATTGAGACTCTTAAATGGATGAAACCTAAGCAGAGGCCAAAGACTCTGGCTCCAATCTTACAACATTCTCTTGCCTTATGGGACCAGATACGAAAGAAGGAGGGGATGGTCTCTACATACACCCCCCTCGCGCCCCTATTTGAAAATGTTAATTTTATCCCAGGACTACAGCTAAAAACATTTAAATGGTGGACAGACAAAGGACTGTATAGGATTGGTGACTTTATCAAACTTCATAAACCAATCACATACCACTACTGCTTAAACACCCTCAAAATGCCTCACTCTGAATATTTCAGATTTAGACAAATCAATCACTTTTTATCCACTCTACTTATCCCCGAGACTGCAGCCCCGCTGTTAACACAATATGAACGGTGGTGCCTAGGTGGGATAGGTCAAAGGGGAGGTACGTCCCTGATCTATGATGCCCAACTAGGACCGTTCACTAAAACGGCCTATATGGTGGCCTGGGAACTAGAAATTGGGACACCACTCTCCCCAGAAGAATGGCAACAGTGTTCTAAAAGAACAACTAAAAGGGACTCTTAAATGTTTCTCTTTCAGAAGACAATTATAAGGTTCTTTCTCGATGGTATCTTGTGCCAGGAAAACTAGCGAAGATGAGCCCAGGCGTTAGTCCGCTATGTTTTAGGGGCTGTAAACAGCAAGGCACTATGCTACATATCTGGTGGCAGTGCCCAGGACTACAACCTTTTTGGAACAAGTTGTTTGCCCTGCTTTCTAGGATTCTTGGGACTCCTATCCCCAGAGACCCTCAGCACACTCTACTTAATAAATAAATCCAGGACATCTCTGGAACGCAGAGCAAACTGGTTTCCTTTTTTTTTCTGGCGGCTAAGATATCAATAGCTTGGTCCTGGAAAGCCGAAAAGGTCCCATTCTCTCTGGTGGTGTCTAAAGTAAACTGGATCATGATCCATGAGAAATTAATTAGCATTTCGCAGCATAAATATGCAGAATTCGAGGCAATATGGGCGCCGTAGTTGAAATACCAAGAGATCTCAAATGCTTATACCACTAACTCCGATGCTTCGGCTTGAGCATATTTATCCCGCTCCCCGGAAACTATAATCCCTTATGATATGTTTTTATCTTCTATAAAGGGAACTAATGTTAATCTTAATGTTAAAGTTATTGTTGATTTGAGAAATATTGAATTTGCTGATTTGGATACATTTGTTAAAAGCTGGATTTGAATGATCTTATGGAAACCAATAAAAACTTTGAAAACAGAAGTTCTGACTTGCTGCAAACTTTATCCAGATCAGTGATTAAGAAAGTAGCTATAAAAAGCTATACATAACCACAAAAAGGCATAGGCTTGCTTCATTATTTAGCAATGCACATCTGTAGTTGACCTAGTGTAGCTTACAATAGTTTTTCGCTCTCAAATCTGCAAGGTGTTTAGAAAAGCTGGCCATACACTTACAGTTTTTTGTCATTCAGATGGGGAAATCTCCCTTGATGGGTTATTGTATTCTGACAGCCAGCACCTGTGGCTGTCAGAATACCCTAACAGTGACTGCGGCAGATTGGCTACTAAGCTGACAACTTCTGTCCCAGTTCCTTTAAGAAAAATCATTGAATCATCTGTGCTTCCAAATTACCCTCCTTTATCTAAACATATTATATAGAAAATCACTTTTGCCTTCTAGTGAAGTATATAAATAAGACAAAGTAATTTCCTAAAGGCATTGATAGTCTATGTATTTGTGCACAACTGTGTCGCTGTACTGCAATATTCTGATTTAAAGCTGAACTCTAGGCAGATATGCAAAAACTGCCAGCAGTCACATGTATAATATATGAATCTGGTCTGTGAAAATAGCAGAAATCAGAGGCCCAGCTTATGAACTTATAATAGCCTCATTTTGCTGGAAGCATTTGTACAAGACAAGTTGTTGTATCTTAAGTTTTTTTTTTTTATAGCATGCAGAAAACAACTTTGCAAAAGTATGCTTTGTTCAGCCAATAGAGTGAATGCTAAGCTGGTCATTTCTGTTTTAGGCTCAATTCACATCAGGAACGTGCGGTCAGGGAAGGCAGAGCCTCACCTAGTATTATCAAGGAAAAAGCTGTCAGGTTTAAGCCTGAAGCTGACAGCTTTTTCTCCATTCAGAGCAGCTTGTAAGAGGTTACAGAGCAGTGAAAGCCTCCCTGCTGTGTAACCTGTCGTGGAGGGAGCGCTGCCTGTTATTTTACAGGCGGCGCTGCATCCGGGTTTTGACAGCTAAGTTAGGTTACACAGTAGCGGGCTTCCCCACTGCTTGTGTAACCTAACCTAATGAGGCAAGAGCTGCAACAGCCTTTACTGTGTTAGAGGCGTGGGCTCTGTGGATGGTTTGGACCAATGCCAAGCTGTACAATAACAAAACAGCCCGGGTGGGGGGCTTTGGCAGGTAGGGGGAATGCGTCACCAGCACGGAAGGTACTGCACGTCACTGATTCACATTTGTGCCATGCTTTAATGCGCCTTAACGTGTGTTGCGTTAAGTAGTATTAAACCCTTTTTTTTTATTCAGCACAGTAGATACTGTACATTTTTTAAATGCACAATTTTATTTGTTTTTATATGTTTTAGAACGCCGCCCTCTCCTCCTACTTATGGGTGGCTCTGTTGTCTAGCAGGTTGCAAAGCAAACACCCATGCGGGCACGCACCTGGCCAGGAACTGAGCTGAGCACGTCCACAGACACTTGAAGGCCGCTCATTGCACCCAGCTTGTCTACAATCAGACATGACCCTTTTTTCTGTAATGCAACACACTACCATGTCCTGCCATGTGTTGGGGCATGCTACAATGCAGGTGTGTTGGGGTGCCATTCAAAAATGAATGTCAACGCATCACACCAAAGCGTGTTACCACAACACAAAAATGTCACAATTTTATTCCAGTTTTAAAAAGAAACAAGGCAAATAAATCCTCATGTAGAAAGTGACATATACAGCAAGAACAAACAGTAAGCTCCGCAGTTCAGTTCATATAGTACACAGTGATACATCATCCCTAGTCATATGGCTCGCAATGGATGACTAATAAGAGGAGAGGAGGAGCGAAAACAGAGGGAAGAGAAAAGAGGCAAAACAGAATTTGCAGATCCACTAAAATCACATCATACATGTGATTTGTGTTCCCTTTTCTTTCAAGAACCTGATTAAAGCAGACCTTGCAGTTAAATGCTTACTGGGTCAGACCTTCCCATCCTGTAAAAATCATTATAGTTTAAAAAGGAAAAAAAATTAAAATGTATATATAGGGCAAAAAGTAAATACTAACCTAACCCTTGTCCTCAACATTTCAGGGTGTGATCTCATTATCCTTTCTGGGGACCAATGAGTACTCCAAATGCGACGAGAAGATACTCCAGCCCAGTGCAAGAATACCTTCTCACAAGATTTAAAATCCTCATCATTCCCAGGATCTCACTGGAAAGAGTGAGCTTCACCATCACCATGTGCTGTGAGCGTATGACAGGGGTCAGGTGTCCAACTTTCTTCCTTACAGAAAGGGTATTCAGCTTTCTTCCTTACAGATACAGGTTTCCCTTAAAGTAGAAATGAAGTCAAAACTTGTTTTTTTGGGATAGAGCAAGAGAGGGGTTAACCCGTCAGCCTTTTTTTGCCTTCGCTGTCCCACTGGGGAGCATTCTCTTCACCTCCTGTCCTGACAGCCACAACAGAAAGTAAGAGAATATTCCTCCACAGAGGGAAATTTCTGGTGGGCAGCAGTCACCTGAACTATTGTCCCATTGGAAGATTTCCCATCTTTTCCTGTTCTGATGACCACCCACAATTTAGAGATTTTCTTTCACTTTCGGTCACCAGAACGAAGCGAGAGGGTGAATCTCCCTAGCAGGGACACATACAGCAATAAAACCATGGCAGGGGATCTAACCCCTCAACCTCTCTCTACCAAAGCTTAAAAAAAAAAAAAGTTTTGGCTACCATTGCACTTTAAACTATAGCGATTTCTAGTATACAGAGTGCTAGTATACAGAGTGCCTTGATAGTACAAGACCACTGAATTTTCATCACGGATACTGGTAAATCAGGAGTGAAAAGAAGAGGCTGTATACACTATGTGACTGTTCATTGCTACAATTGTATCAGTTATCTTGTAGGTGACAAGCAAGGATTAAAAACAATCTAGCACGCTACCAAGTAAAAAAAAAATGTCCCTCTGTGTATTGAAAAATCCATTCATGTGGCTACGGATTTTGTAATTCTAATAAAAGTTTTTTGATATACTTCAGACGGGTTCCCTTGGTCTATTCATGTGACCTCTGTGGCGGCTTTATTCTTAATAAAAGCAGTGTTTTTTATAGGTTGATCCAATAATTCACAGATCGAGGGTAATATCGATAATCATTATATGGTGCAGATGATTCCCAGGAACTCCTCCCTTTTAATAAATGTTTCATCTTTAAATTACAAATGGCCTGTGCAACAATTATACATGCTATGTTTCGTTTTAATCTTTTAAAGTGGAGTTACCCTTTAAGCACTGTTACCTTCAGGTCTGGCATGGCGGTGAGTGTCACAGACATTTCTTAAAGATCAGAATAGTTACAGCAGATACTAGTGTGTTTTTCTATTAAGACACGG